AAGTCAAATCAAAATGAGAAGGAAGGAAGTATAAGCAGAAATTAATAAAATAGGGGGAAAACGTTAAGGAAAGGACTCTGCAAAGCCAAAAGCTCATTCTTTGAAAAGACATACAAACCACTAGTAAGACCAACTGAGACAGCAGAAAGAAGGAATAATTAATGTCTGGAACGAAGTGGAACCTCACACAGATCTGACAGATATTTAAAAAATGAGATGATCTGATGAATAATTTTAGGACAATGAATTTGAAAATTCAGGTAAAATTCAAGAAAAACGTAACTTACTAAGACTGTCACAAAAAAACTGAAAATCTGAATAATTCTAGATTTTAAAAATTCAATTCATTTATAATCTTCCCCAAAAGAAAACTCCATGACCAGACTGCTTCACCATCTAATTCTCCTAAACATTTAAGAAATAAGACCAATTCAAATAAACTAATCAAAGATGAAAAAAGTCACATAAAGAAAAAATTATATACATATAAGGGTGGAATGATTTTGATATTAAAACCTAACAAAAGTGTTATAAGAAGACAAGATGCAATTTTTCCAAAAACAGTTTTGCATAAGAAAATAGGTAGAATAATTCTTAAAATATTAACAAACGAAATCTGTCAATATGTAAAAGGGATAAGACATCACAACCTAGTTGAAATTTTTAGAAATGCAAAGTTAATATTTTAAAATCAATCAATGTAATTCATCACCTTAATGGAATACTGGAGGAAAAATCTTATGGTGATCTTAAAAGATATAGAAAAAGCAATATACATTTATGATTTAAGAAAATTCATAGCAAAATAGGACTAGAAGAAAACTTCCTACATTTGATTTCTGTTTAATTAATTGAAAAAAACTACCATAAAGAGCATATTGAAAGGTGAAAAATGAAAGCCTTTCCTTTGTGGAAACAAGGATTGCTGGTACATGTTAATGTGTAAAAACTGAGTGTATTTCCACATATCAACAACAGTTTGAAAATAAAATTACAAAACTTCACTGAGTGAAAGCACTGAGAGACAAGAGTGTTCACAGCAGCAATATCCAAAATCGCTCTAAGCTGGGAGAAAAAGAAACACCAAATGTGCTTTAACATTGGAGTAGGGAATACTCCACAAAAATGACATTAAAGTAACTGCACCTACAGGCAGCAAAGTGAACAGCTCTGGCAAGCATGGTGATGACAGAAAGGAGCCAGACATGTGATTCCACTTTACAAAATCAAACAAATTAGGAATTGTGTACGCAGACGCAAAATTAGATGGTAAACCTACTAAGAAATGCCAAGAAGTGCTTACCGTAAAACTCAATA